ATATATATATATGTGTGTATACAATATATAAAGCATTTATATGTATATAAATAGTAACTAAAAAATAATTTTAAATTTTTTGAAAAAAGAAATCACACAAGAGCGTCTCTCTTAAAAATGTTTATATATAAACATTTTAACAAAAAAGATATTATAATTTATTGGCATAAAAATATTATTTAGTAATCTATTTAAAGCATAATTCTTTTTATGTGTTTCTGCTATAAATTTTTTTGTATGTCGACATATATTTTGCAAAGAAATGTATTGTGTAAATATATGAAGGGTCATGTAATGTTGTATAATGCAATATTATAAAGGTAAAAACAGAAACGATATGTATATATATATATATAAATAATTACGTAATTACCATATATCGATGCGATGACTATTATAATCAACATTGAAACCGTAAATATCGATCAACGATTGTTCTTCGGCATATACATCATTGTCAAGTAACAATAATTCATGTTGATTTTCTTCTCGCATAAATTCCATGTCTTGATATTGTTTTTGTACAGGCCATGTTGAATATAATGTATACGTATTTCCAAAGATTCTATACCAGTATAAGTAATAGCTTTGTTGGAATTCAACCATTAGAACTACCATTAAATTATTAACGTGATTCTCATGAAATGTTTCTTCAGTATTTAAATTAAGAACTTTAAATCGTAATATATGTCCCTCAGTTGTTATGTTTATAGTATGTTTAAATGACAAATCATCAAGATCAATCTCGTAGAAAGACAATGTTGAATTCTCAGCACGAATAAAGTAAGCGGTTTCTGCTTGTAAAAATTGCCAATTAATGTTATCAGGCATATTAAATTTGTGCAATGAAATATTTGTCACAATAACTTCTGAAAATAAAAACATTCTTCTAGATTGTTTATATAAATAGTTAGCGTGAAGAAAATTATAGATTTATTTGCATTGTGAAACAATAAATATAATATTACATATATTCTATGTAAAAAAGATTAAATTTTTAATACTAATTAATAACATATTTGATAACAATTACCTTCTCGATTTCCAGCCCCAGTGCCAAATTCATATTCCTGCCAAATTGACGATGCATCTTCGTGATTCCGTGGTCGACGAAATGATCTAGTATTAACCAGTATATTATCCAACGTTTTAGACATTTCTTCGATGTCTTGGCATTTTGCGTTATTTACGAAAATCCACAGACAGAGGAAACATACGATAAGATCTTTACTCTGTAACATTCTGAATGTGTACTGAGAGACTTGACTGTGAAATTCTTTCACGCTTGATATCTCGTAAATATCCTCATACGACCCATAATATTTTGATTATTCATTGAGTCCCAATGCTAACAACTAAAATCCAACATTCTTCGAGTTTATCTACCTAAACATTTTATTTCAAAATTAAATAAAATGTTATATTTTTTAGCTTGTCTAAACTGTAATTTTATTAATAATTATACATTTTCTCGTAAGTCATAATTTCATTAATAACATAGTTTAATAAAAACAAATACAAATATAAGACTATATATTTGTAGTTAAAATTGTAAAAAAAAGAGTTATTTAATGTATTTTATTATATACAGGGTGCGGCATTTATAGTGACGCGGGCATATTTTTCGGAAACGAAGTGAGATATCAAAAAATGTTTCAGACAAAAGTTGCATGGTTT